GTAGTGCTCATGTTTGCTGGTATAGTCAGCCCCCTATATCCACAGATTCTTCACCATCCATGGCTTGAAACCTTAATTTTTCCATTTTATACAAGGGAGACTATTTTACTATCTCATTGTATATAATGGGACTTGAACTTCCACAGATTTTGGCATCCTTGGGGGTTCCTAGAACTAAACCACAGCAGATACCAAGGGCAAAATTTATTATGTGACTTTGCATCAACTCCAACCTTATCTTAGGCTTTTCTTGGCAAGATTTCTTCATGGGAAGGTTGCCATTGCCTTTTTCTGAGGCTGAGGTGTGTGACATTTCCAAGGTTACCTGGCAAGTTTCCATGGCTGAGTGGGGATTCAAATCCTGATCTCACAGTTTCTTAGTTAAACACTCAAGTTACTATACTATGTTGTGCAATGTACTGTATGTGTGTCCACACGATATCATGAAATAAGAATAATTTTCAACTATATGAAGGGAAGGGCTTGGAGTAATGGCAGGGCTGAGCTTCATACAGTAGTAGTGATATACATGACATTTTACAGCAAATTTTGGGACTCAAGTGGTCCTCCAGATGTTGTTAGACAGCTTTCCTTGCTACTGTTCCTTTCTACAGGAGCTATAGTACAACATCTGGAGGGCTGCCCAATTCTCACCCATGCTTTACAGAAACATAAAAAAACCAACAAGAAAAGAAAAAAGAATTTGCTCCAGAGACCTTATAATCTAACTTTTGACAGATCAGGAGAAAAAGAGAGAGATTAAAGAAACAAATTAAAATTAAAAAAGAGTGTATAAAATTGTTTTAAGTGTACTTTGGCTTTCAGTAAGGAATAAACTTGAAATATATTGTTGTGATTGGGTGCCTCCAAATCATGACTTGACTTATGGCAATCCTAAACAGAATCCTATCACAGTGTTTTCTTGACAGGTTTCTTCGGGGGGGGGGTGCCATTGCCATTCTCTGAGACTGAGAAACTCTGAGTGTTGCCCAAAGTCACCCAGTGGATTTTGATGCTCAAGCAGGGATTTGAACCCTGGTCTCTAGAGTCGATGTCATCACTGAAACCACTCCACCACACTGGCTGTCTTAAATATATACAGTATACAATATATACAATAATGATATTGTGGCTATTTAAATAATTGCATCTTAGAGGCAAATAAACAAGTTGTCTACTCCAAGGAACATGCAGCCTAAACTAGATTAGTATTATCATGCAAATGGTTAGCAGGCTGTGCAATGATGCAAACGGGGTCAGGAGAAGACAAAGGATAAGTGGAAAGTGGAAAGTGGCACAATGAGGATGTCATTTACAAATGGGAAAAAGGCTGCAACCTTTGAGAACACATCTGCTGGTTTTGGCATAATTTCTTCATTAACCACTTACATACCAATTATTTAGCTTTAAATTTCTAGTGAAGTGTTGCTGTTGTTTTAATCCTACAGAAGGATTACATTGACTGAAGGGTGACTGATCATACCTGGTTAATACAGAGTTTTGATTAAAATCTTAAAAGACAGTGACACTGTTGCTTTTGCTCAACTGGGAACTTTTTATGGAACTGACCCCACACTGACTAATAGAAACTGGGTATTATTGGTGGCGTCACCATGCTGAAACCATAATTCTAAAAGCTTTGAGATTAGTTTTTCCTTAGCTCTCACTGCCCAGAGAGAAAATAACTACCAAGGTGACATGGCCAGGGCTGGACTCAAATATCTTGTTGTCTGACAAAATGGGACTTCTGTCTGCCCCTAACCCAATTCCATGTATAAAGGTTGAGTGGAATTTAACTTAAACTGTAGACCAGGGGTAGGCAACCTTTCCGCTTTAAGGGCCAAGGGACTTCAGCTCCCAGAATCCCATGAGCTTTGGCCAACATGGGACTATTGGACAACATGGCTGAGGCTTCTGGGAGCTGAAGTCCCTTGGCCCTTAAAGGGGAAAAGTTGCCTACCCCTGCTGTAGACTGTGCTCCACTACACCTGAGAATAACAGGGCAGCCTGTGAAACATAGAGCAAGTCACACATTGCTCTATCAATTCCCCATCTCTCAACTTTTGTCATCTGAAGCAGCTGCCAAACTCTGCTTATGGTAGGGCCACTGTGGACACGGGTAAAGAAATGATCAAGTAGAAGGTATGGTAGATAAGAGACAGAAGCTGCATCTGCACTGCAAAAATAATGTATGTCGACTCCACTTTAACTGTCATGGCTTATTGCTGTGGAATCCTGAGATTTGTAGTTTGTTGTGGCACCAAAGCTCTCTGACAGAGAAGGCTCACAAAACTATCCCAGAATTCCATAGTTAAAGTGGTGTTCCCATCCATGTGCAATACTGGAGATGATAATTATTATTTAATTTACAAAGTGGTTGTACAAGGCTAGCTCAATAAATTGTGTTGCCTAAAGTTCAAGAACAGCTCTACCATTAAGAGGAATAAGCCTATGTCAGGCTCAAAAGATACAAAGAGATGGAAGGTGGTGAGAGGTGATGAACAAAGCTTGCCTTGAGTCCCTGTGAGAACCTCCTATTCTCAGTGGATAACAATGGACATTATCACACCAGGGGTCTCAAAGCGGCAAGAAAATCGGCATGGAATCAATCCAGAACCATACCGGAATGGCCCGTGTCATCAGACAAGAAAGCAGCATCATACCGGAATGGTTCTGGATTGATTCTGGTCGTGGCAGCTGTAATTCCTCTTTGAAAGAGAACTGGGATGATGCAGCAATGCACCAGGGATGATGCAGGGATGGGCGGGGTTTGCTGTGACGTCGTCTGATCACAGGGGCAAAGGATCCGGTATGATGCAGCGATGGTGCAGGGATGGGGCTGCTTTAGACCCCGTGTGATAACGTCCACTGTCTCATCACAAGTGCTAAAATAGCAGCTAATTTGTTTAGCCTGATTGACTTCGGTCCCTCACTTTAAACAACAAAATGATGTGGGATGCATCTGTTGAGTTGAAGGACAAATATGGTAACCATAATCTTTTACAAACCAGACCACCATCCACCCTGAAGAATCTGAAGAATCTGTCTAGAATATCAATTAAAAGCTTGCTTCAACACTATTTAGTAGGGCAGTATCTTAGTCTACACAGGGGGCAGAGGGCAGCCAATTTGGAACATACAGTATTTAGTTTGTCAACATGTAATTGCTATATTCTCCTGTTGCCCCATATCTGCAGGAGACCTGGTGGCGCAGTGGTTAAATGCCAGTACCGCAGGCACAATGTTGTGAGTTCGATCTCAGGGCTTGAGTGTTGATCCTGCTTTCCATCCTTTCGTAGGTCAGTATCCAGCTTGCTGGGGAGAATTGTCTTACAGACTGGAAAGAGAGTGCTGAATTCACTATTAAGCAGTATAGAAATGTAAATGCTATTGCTATTGCTACATGAGGTTGCTACCTCACAATGGGTAATGCAGTGGTATAATGGTATGTTCTGAAGTGTAGGCACTCTTCAGAACAGCCCCCATAATCACAATCCCAAGGAAAATCAAAACATTCAGGAAGTTGTGTTGGTCCATGTCAACAAAATAGTTGTAACAGTTTTCATTCCTACCAATAACAGGTATTTTGAAAAGCGAATGAGTCTTAATTGCCTATTTCAGAAATTTTAACCACCTGCAAATGCTTGACAGTACAACAAGAATCTATATATGCAACGATATATTTTTTTCCCTGGGAAAATCAATTTCTTCGCAGCTATTGTCAAGTTTGCAGCTAAAATTAGAAGTTGCTAGATACAATTGTCCCTGCTAATCTGGAATTCCCAGGGTTTTGACTCTTGTGAGCCCTGACTACACCTCACCTCAAATGCAATGTAGGACCAGCACTGTTGTAAGACGTACAGCTAGCCTAATGAATGAGAAGCACTTTGGAATATGTGAAGTATAATTATTAGGAGCTGCTTGGGGGAAAGCATGCTCTTTTGTCAAAGCAGTAGCAAAGGGATCATTCAGATATTTGTTTGAAAACAATCATTATATGTTGGAGAAGGCAGAAACTGGGCAGGTATACAGATATTTGGAGAAACATTTACTTCCCTGCCTATGGCCATACCTCAATGAATTCTGATTTTTCTTTTTGATTGTTTAATCTCATTTAGTTTAATCTAGCTATGGGGTTCCTCCATCCTGTTTGCTCCCAGGTTTTCTGGACCACACCCCCACCATCCCCAGCCACATTGGTGGAGGATGATGGGTATATAGCCAAATACTTTTGGAGATGCTAGAGCAGTAATGGCTAATCTTTTAGGGGCTGAATGCACCGGATGTTACCTAGTGCTGGGGGAGTGGGACTTCCGGAGCAGGATTTCTTTCCCCCCCCAATAAAACCCCTCCCAAGCCTTCAGCTGCCTCTTCAGCTGCCTCTCCTTCCATGGGAGGCATGCACCTGTTCCTCCTCCCCCCCATCCCCTCCTAGGTAGCATGGAGAGAGCTTTGGTTGCCTTGGTGGATGACCTACGCAGGGAACTGGACAGGGGGAGTGTGTCCCTGTTGTTCCTGCTAGACCTCTCAGCGGCTTTTGATACCATCAACCATGGTATCCTTCTGACCTGCCTTTCTGGAATGGGACTTGGGGACACTGTTATGCAGTGGTTCCAGTCTTTTTTGGAAGGGGGGACCCAAAAGGTGGTGTTGGGGGACTGGTCAACTCCTTGGTTGCTGGCCTGTGAAGTCAGGGTTCTGTGTTGTCCCCAATGTTATTTAACATCTACATGAAACCACTGAGAGAGGTCATCCAGAGCTTTGGGTTGCAGTGTCATCTCTCTGACTCCAAGGAAGCTATCTCTGTGCTGAACCAGTGTCTGTTGTCAGGGCAAACAAATTGAAGCTTAATCCAGACAAGACAGAGGTACTTCTGGTCAGTCGTAAGGCAGATCAGGGAATTGGGGCTTGGATGGGGTTATACTCCCCCTGAAATCTCAGGTTCGCACCTTGGGTGTCCTCCTGGACTCCACTCTGAGCCTGGATGCCCCGATCTCAGTGGCGTCCAGGAGTGCATTTGCACATTAAAACTAGTGAATCAGCTGTGCCCATTTCTTCAAACATTAGATCTTGCTATGATGACACGTGCCTTGATTACATTCCATTTGAACTACTGTAATGCACTCTACATGGGGCTGCCTTTGGAAACTGTTCAGAGACTTCAGCCAGTTCAAAACACTGCAGCCAGAATGCTGACCAGAGCCAGTTATAATTCCCATATTGAAACAGCTTCATTTCTGGGCACAATTCAAAGTGCTGGTCATGACCTATAAAGCCCTATACAGTTTAGGTACAGACTATTTGAGAGACTGTATCTCCCTATATGAACCAGCTAGAGCCCTAAGATCAGGGGTAGGCAACCTTTCCCCTTTAAGGGCCGAGGGACCAACTCCCAGAATCCCAGGAGCTATTGGCGAACATGGGACTATTGGCCAACATGGCTGAGGCTTCTGGGAGCTGAAGTCCCTCGGCCCTTAAAGGGGAAAGGTTACCTACCCCTGCCTAAGATCCTCAGGAGAAGGCTTTCTCTCAGTCCCACTACCATCCTAGGCTCGCTTGGTGAGGACACAAGAGAGAGCCTTCTCGGTGGTTGCTCCCACCCTGTGGAACTCCCTTCCATGGGAGGCTAGACTGCCCCCCCCCCCCCCCCCCGCTGGCCTTTCGCTGGCAGATAAAAATGTTTCTATGCAGGCAGGCTTTTTAAAATCATGCAAGCCTGGTTTTATTTGGGGGATTGCTGTTTTAGATTATGTTTTTTAAACTTTTGTATGTTTTAAATTTTAACTGTAGTGTTTCAATTAGGCTATTTTAATTGTCTTAAAATTGTTTTAATGTGTTTTTATATTGTGAGACACCTTGGGTCCCTTTTGGGAGAAAGGTGGCATAGAAATAAAATAAAATAAATTTAACTAGTGCTGCTAGAACATGAGAGCTGGGGGCAGAGAAGATCAGGAGCAGAAGGATGTCTGAACCAAGATTGTGGAGGGGAAGGCAGTTCCAGCAGGCATTATTAACTCCTAGTGTATCTATACACCTTAACATGTGCAATCATGTCATTACACTTTATGACTGGCAATTGAAAGT